GTCCTGAGCATTTGCACCACCACACGTCAGATTAGGCCCTCGAGGGGCGTCACAGTTCCGTGCACTACTTGACACAGCCGGTTCATCAATGTGCCTGTTGTAGCTCTTGCTCAGGCGAGGGGTTGAGTGAATTCTGTCTCGGCTGTATGAATAAGCCTGCTGCTGCACCATGGCAGTCTAAAGAAGATCCCTGGCCCGCCGCGTCTCAACCACCGCTGGAGACTCATCCTCCATTGGAATAGCTGCCAAACGAGACGTCGCAGCAATCATGTTGTCCAAAGGGGTGGAGAAGTGACCCAGCGGGGGTGTCATGTACTGCGGCGGGTTATCTGTTCGTCAAGGCGGGCCCATCACCCATGGTTGATCTGGCACTCCGGTCCTAGGCACTACAGTCCGGTTTACCGCTGCCGGATTGCTGGTCCCTGCTCCTGGCGTATTGAAGAGATTCATCGCATTGTAATACGACGGCAGGCGAGACTGATGCCTCCTCCTCAATACGTCATTCGAAGCATTTGGATCCAGCAGAAGTTGGTAATTCTCGACCTGAATCCTCTATGACTGGGCATCTAAAGCGCCCGTTCCTCAGCCATCCTGGTTTCCTCAGCTGCCAAATCCTCCTTGGCCTGAGTTATCTGATCCCGCAGCTTTGTGACCTCCGCATTATGGTGATCTTGAGTCGCTGGGGTAACTGCTATAGTCAGCAATGCCGTCCAGGCATCCAATAAATCGGACAGAACTTGAGCCGACCGGCGCACGGGGCCTCCTGCCCCGGCTGCCGATCCAGAAACCTTAGTTGCTGCAGTTGAAGATTGTAAGTTGGGTTGCGTACCAGCCATGAAGATCGCAACCCGGTTTGGCGGTTCAAAGAGGTCCGGGATACTGTCGCCATCGAAATAACCCCCGAACCAACCGTCCTGCACTTGATACAATGACTCGGTCTCTCCGGTAGATGATCCGCCATCGGAGTAGATAGCCGTCTCCCCATCAGATACCGGTTCAGATTCGGTACCATCGATGAATCCTACGAACGCCCGCTTCATGGCAGGCTGAACCCGGGCAGGGCTTGCACGCTGAGCCGTCTCGACGAGGTCGGTGTAGATGTCCGGCTCAGGGCCCGGTTCACCGATCTTGCCGATGAAGACGTGAATTCCTCCGAAGGGGACCCGGTACCCATACTCAATTGAGCTGGCGTCGGGGCCCCCAGCCCGCGTCGTCGATGTAGAGCTTGCCGCGACGACTCTTGGTCATTCGGCCAACCGCGTATCCCTTGAGTCCCTCAAAGCTGCCCTTCAAGAACTCGAGACCATCGTGCGATAGCCCCACGGTGGGCGCCAACCTCGTGGAATTATCACGTCAGATGTCCTAGCGAAAGGACTTAGTCGTGGAGCCATCGCAACGAGATTAGCTTGAAGGGGTTAAACCGAAATAAAATGACACGGGGAGTTTATACTGGTTCGGCCCCTTGCGGTGAAGGTAAAAGCCTACGATCCAGTTGTTGTGGGATTGATTGATCTCGATGAGCAGGGAGCGAATCCGCTTTACCTATCTCTCGAGCTGTTGTTTCTTGTCCCTGAACCACCGTCGGGTCGTCCCTTTATATACATAGGTTGACGCCCGACCGGTTTATAGAATCCTGAGGCTGGCTCATACAAGAGTCTGGCTCGGCTTCTTTCTTTCCCTAACTTACAATACAAGTTACACATCATAAGGCGGTTTACATACATGGGCCTTAATCCGCCACTGGGCTCTAGGCCTCTAAGCTTCTATGGTAAAGCGCCATAGTCTTCATCTTCATGGGCTTCTATACAGATGACTCCTTGTGAGTATAATCTGGCCCCTCCTAGGCGGTTTGTACTCAGTAGTCATATCCCCAACAGGAGGTGAAAACAATTGAAGAACATTTGTATGATATGGACAATGACATTGTCTTGGCCCAAGGGTATCTCACCACATTAGTTCCCAGCATGATGGATCAGGTTGCATACCCCTAGGCCGGTTCCGTCCTACATCATGTTGGGCAACCCATAACGTTTATACGAAAGGCTACAGAAGACTTGTCGTACTAGAAGAGGATGCCGGGGCCGAGAGGACTCTACCTCCACTGACATAGTTGGCCAGCATCTATAACCCTAGAACTATCAGTCTGCTATATAAGCAATGTGACAGCTCGTCAATATGTCATCATACAATTCCTTAGGTTGTATACATGTACTTTATACGCCCCTATCACAGTATACATGATCAGGAGTAGGTTAATACCTCGACCGAGAGGGCCCGGACCTAGGTAAATCTTGTTCCTTGTTTCCCTTCCGACCTAATCGCTACTCCATGGCACTTAATTGAACTATATTTGTTCTTTATTTTTTGGGCGCATAATTATAACATTTCATTTCTAAAAGGATAAAATATCTATAACCATGTGTGACCATAAATTAGTATACATATAACGAAAGTTCAGATCACGTGCTAGATGGAGTGTTTATCCGATGTTAAATTGGTTTATGAAGTCCAAATTCAGATTGTCAGTTGTTCATAATAACAATGAGAGTAAATTCAGACTTTTTTCTATATCCGATGCTAAATTGATTCGAAGATTTATCTTTCTTGGGCCTATTAACTAAGAATATTTTTATGTTGGACTTATAGCTCAATTCTCTTTTGTTGTTGATTATGTGCTTTTAATACATTATGCCATGAATATATTTGAGGCGTGGATCAACGGCTAAATAATCAGACAACTTTATATGAATATTTGTTATGGTGCTTCTAGAACCATTTGAATTTTGATGGTATTTACGAATGAAAAAAGGGAATAAATTGCTTAATGAACTCAATACAAATATATTCTTGTAAAAAGATTAATACATATATTGACATCTTAGTAGGTAATGCTTTTGTCGTTGTGTATCTTCACCCACATAAAATTTTCAATCCCATGGCACCACCGATATCTTTATGAGCTGGCCACAAGTATCCTATGATATTATTAAAAGAAGTATGCACCAGAATATCAGATATGTGACTGGGCGTTTTTCTTTGTGCGAGAATTATGATGATATTTTTCTGTTTAGACCATAAACTCTTTAGTATATAATAATAATATATTAATATTTATTACTACATCCAAACGGGCGCATAGGGCATGTGCGTGTTCCTAGGTCATCAATTTTACTAACAAAATACATGTTATGTACCACCAAAATTATATGTTTAGAAACTTTGTTCAATTAAAAATCCAATTGCATGCTTTTATGGTATACGATACATGTTTTGTTAGTCAAACTAAGGACGTAAAATCACACCAACCTTATAAATTTTACAAAAGGGGTACTTGTTTAGCTGCAATACAATGATCTGTTTATTCTGATCTTGTTAGATACACTTGGTAAGACAAACCATTTGGGTGAATGCCTACCTTCTTTAATCTATTTGACATAGGCTCCGTAGGAGCAAGTGATACACCAGTAAAAAAAAGTCTACCACATGCTGATAGCTGGATGTTTTTCTGCGATCGATTCGTAGTATATCCCTCATTATCGAATAAATAGATCCAAGAATCCCTAGGCTATGTTAGATCAACGTGAAATTTGTAGCTATTTTCTCTAACTATAAGAATGGGTGTGCTTCATATAGTAGTCTAGAACAACTGGATAGCCGTGTGTAGTTTGCCTCTATTTAATTGTTTGCTTTTTTTTTTGCGGGAACTATTTAGTTGTTTGCTGTCAAGAACATAGAGTCAAGTAAATCTATCGCATGTATTTCGGAATAACCGTGAATAAATGAATATGGTGAGATGTCGACCATATGAGCAAACACCTAATAATATAAAAAATAATAGAATGTTCATATTGTTCATTAATTATTGAAGTTTGTAAAAACTTTATTTTCTTAAATCAATATGGAAAATTCAATAATTCTTGGATGAAAATAACACATGTGAACTTGAGTCCATCATCTAAAATAAAAGTTATATAAAACTTTTGAACGCCTAATCTAGGATGGTTATGACTTTTTATTATCCGTCCGAAAAAACTTGTCACAAACTTGTCTCTTAAATGAATGTATCTAGCAGTAATTTCGTGCTAGATACATCCGTTTGAGGGACAAGCTTTTTGGACGGAGGGAGTATCGATTAATACTATACCTGGCCATGGGCCGGGCCGGGCTTGGGCCAGGCCTGAAAAAGCCCACGACACAAAATTGAGGCTCATGCCCTACCATCGGGCCTACTTTTCAAGCCCAAGCCCGACCCATATGGTAAAAAGCCCTCAAAAGCCCTTAGGGCTTAGGGCCGTGGGCCGGGCCTCTTCCTTAAAATGCCAATATGCCAAGCCCAAACCCGTCCAGGCCCTGCTGGTGGGCTCAAAACTCAGGCCCAAGCCCGGCCCATGGGCAAGCCCATCGGGCCTAGGCCCTAGATTTTAGGGCCAGGGATGGCCATGACTAGTTAATACAAATCAACTTGTGGATTATTTTCCAACTCTTTAAGAAGTATGGCCTGTTACCACTGATACAACTTTTGGGATTATTTACTCCTAACCGCAAATTAGAATTCTACCAATGCATTTTTTTTCTGCCACGTGCTTAGGTTTTTTTTAGATAATAATGCCACGTGCTTAGGTAGTTTTTTTTAACGCATGCCTGTGTACGAAAAACAAAGAAATAAACGAAAGGAAAAGAAAGCGTTGAAGGTCTGGTGTCCGCTGGGCCGTACAGCCCGTGCAGGATCGCCCCTCCCCTCAAAAACAAAAAAAAAACTAGCTAGATTCCGATTCTGAAAAAGAAAAAAAAAACCTAGCTAGGGTTCCATGGAGAGAGGAAAGAGGGGATCGTGCCCGAATCCAAGCAGCAGCTCCTCCTCCTTCCCGAGCTGCAATCAGAAACAGGCCCTGTTTCAAATTCTGTCTCCGAGTTTCCATTGGTGGCAGCTAATCTTCGGAGGAGACGCACGGCAACAACTCTAGACATCAGTTTTCCGAAGACTGGCCAGCAGCGCGGCAATGGCGAGGACCAGTCGCCGGCGAGAGGCTGCCAAATTGATGGCCAAACCATCGGTCAAGGCCAAATCCTCCCTCGACAAGCTGGTGAGTTGCTCCTCCAAAATCCCTTTTCTTATAATAACATTACACGCAAAAACTACTATTTCTCACAACAAGGAATACTAAAAACTAGGAACCATGATCAGATTTGCGCCCTTCTGTGGGAAAGTATAATAAATTGTCATCAGTAGATCATGGGGGCGTCCTTAGCAAACCAGGGGTCGAATTTCAGTCTTTCACACAGCATTCCGATTGCATCTTATGAGTCTATAAAAAAAGAGTTATTGCTACATTTTTGTTAACAGATTTGTGTTATCTTAGCTATAAATCAAAGCTGCGTCTTTGCAACAGCAGACAAATTGCATCTCTGATATTGCGTATTTTTCTGTAATGTGATACCAACTCTGATTTGTTCCAAATGCCAAATGCAGAAAGCTAATGAACGTAATAGGATCAGCAAGTTGCCCAATGACATACTGGTCAACATTCTAGACCGTCTCGGTTTCCGTGACGTTACAAGAACCAGTGTCCTCTCCAGACGTTGGAGTCAGCTTCCTGCCAATCTCTCACGGCTTAAAATAAGTGCTCGCGATTTTCTGTCCCCACAAGCTAGCATACCTGATGATGAATTGGATGAAAAATTGCTTCGGATCAATGCATTGCTTAGGATCAATGCAGTCAATGCAGCCAATGCAGCTGTGGTCAAAGCGACAAAGAGCACACTGGCACACAGAGATCCAGGTGGATGCACCATCCGCCTCTTGAGCACGACGTTCTACTTGAGAGGTGATACCCCAATATCTGTTGGGCATACTGTTGGCAATGCCATGGCGACACTCAAGGTCGAGAAAGCCGAATTCACAGTTTTGACACAACAGAAAGGACGCGGGTGTAGTATTGATGAGATGGTGAAGTTTGGGACACGGTTTGTGTCATTTTCTAATGAATGCCACAATGCATTTGCTGGTCTCACACGCCTCTACCTGGAGAATTTGAGATTCCGTGAATCCAACTTTGTCTCTAACATCCTTGTCACTTGCAAGCAGTTAAATTATTTAGGTTTTTTCAATTGTGACACAGAGGATTGGATAACGCTCCAAGTTGAACACGCACAGCTCAGTGAGCTCAGTATTGTTGATTGCCGTTTTAGCATGGTCGAACTCACCTGGGTTCCGAAACTCACCTGGCTGGCGTTTTTGTTTTGGTTATATCATGCAGAACTACCACTGTCACTGGGCTATGTCCCATTGCTCGGGGTTCTGAGACTTTCAAATGCTGCTCGTAGTTTCCACGAAAACGTCAAGTTGAGTATGTTTCTCCATGAGACCTCTGTTCGAGACCTGACATTGGGGTTTAAATGTGAAAAGGTAAGTTGTGGGTTGATTGCTTCGTTCTGGCTTCACTTGTTCCCTACTCATCCTATCATGTGCGTACTGTTGCAGATTTGGGTTCAACCGGAGTGTTTGACCAGAAGGCAGGCATATGTGTTCCAGCAACTAAGGATTCTCAATCTAGTTAAAATTCCTGAAGGGTATGATCTCACCTGGACAATGTTCTTCTTGGAAGCGGCGCCGTCCCTGGAGGAGCTCTACATAAAGTATGTTCTTAGCTCATAAATCTTGTTCTATTCTTACCCTTTTTTCTTTTGTTTGAGGAGTTGCTTTACCACGTGGCCGTATGTTCTCTCCTCAAGTCTTTTGTTTGAGGGGTTGCTCTATTATCTTGGTCGCATGATTGCACACACCTGTGCTTTCATTTGGAGTGCAAAATTAATTAACCTGTTTCATTTACCTTTGTCCTATGGGTGCAGGTATGGGACCATCCATGTGAAATTGAAATGGATCAGGAGATTAGCGAGAACAAGGGCGTTGAGTGGGAATCACCTACATCAAATTTCAAGCACCACTGTCTGGCCAAGTTCATCCTCGTCGGCTTTCAAGCTAAAGACTACATGGTGACTCATGTCAGGCGTGTCCTGAAAGCAGCGGTGAATCTACAGGATGTGTACCTGTATGATAGACTGGCATGTGCCAAGTGTCTCAAGAAAGTAGAGAATGCGCTCAAGTCTGATGCAGTGGTACGCGGTATGTGCCCGGGCGTGAATCTGCCGATAAAGTTCCCTTATACAAATGAGGACCAGCGTTCAGTGCAGAAGCGAATGCCCCGGGGCACTGGGTCACTTGCCAAAATCCACTTCCTGGCATCTAAGGAAATGAGGGCTGAACATGGTCCAAGGATAGGATACTCTATGGGTGCCATAGAAGATAACTGGATGTTGTCGAGGCTAGGACAGCGTATTTAATACCAGTCGGTTGGAGTTGCCAGCTTTTCTTGTTTGCTCTTCTTTTGTGGTTGCAACGCTTGTACTATAAACTAAATTCAGTTGAAGTAATTTGTAGCATTATTGTCTGTGAATTCAAGAAGTCGATACAACCAGTTAAAATTTGAGACCCAAGTGTGTAGAGTTATATTGATCTATGATGGTGGTGAGTGTGCATCCGTTGATATGGTTCTTTGTGGGCATATATATATAAAATAGAAGATGAAGCATGTAATTGGTCACGTGTCCCCTTTGTCAACCGTATAATATTTATATATATTTATATTTATATATATACCCTAGCCCTGTGTTCTGGATCTCGCCATTGGATGTGGCTCGCTTCCGTTGTCTCTGGCGTTCTACTGATGTTTTTACCTCGAATATAATATTTGTCAAGTCAAACTTCATAAAGCTTGATCAACTTTATAGAAAATAATATCAACATTCACAATACGAAATCAGTATCATTAGATGTGTTATGAATTTAGAAAATAATAATGTTTGATTCTTGCTGGTCAAATGGGATGCTCTAAACTGCTTGTTGAGTCGGATTGCATGGAAGTGGTAGAGACTATGCAGCAAGGGGGAAACTTTATTGGACCTGCGTGGGCGACCTATGAAGAGTAGTTTTTTATGTCGTGGTTTTATTTTTGTTATTTTGCTCATTGTCCTAGAGAAGCAAATATGGCAGCTCATGTGATAGCTAGTATAGTGGTTGATGCCCACCTGATTTCTTAGTTGATGTACTGGGGATGCATCTTTATTCCCCAAATCAATATAACCAGCCATGATGGCATTCCCTTAAAAAAGATGTCCTATGAATTTAATTCTCATATTGTATAAATTTAATATTGTAGATGTTGATATTTTTTCATATAAATATAGTCAAACTTTACGACATTTGACTTGAGACAAATCTTATATAGAGTAAAAAAGGATTTAATGGAGTATATATGGTTGTGATCCCCCTGAAGAATGGAATGGCCCGGCCAAATGCCTTGACGCGAAAAATAGCCTTGACGCTCGACTGCTCTACATCCAAGAGTCTAAATTGGCCGACGTGTCCTGTCAGAAAGCGGCGTCCTTTCTTCCCCATGGCTTCTCGTTGGTGTCCTTCAAGGCTTCAGATGGTGCCCCGGGCGGCTTGGTCACCGTCTGACGCGATGGCCTAGTCACCCATCGTAGGGACGTGGAGGTCACCTTCATGCTTACCTCGTTCTTTGTGTTTGCTGCCGATGCCACGCTGTTCGTGATGACCAACGTCGACGCCCCGTGCACTCCCGAGCGTCGCCCTGAGTTCCTGGCTGAATTCGCACCATCGCCGAATCGTGTGCTCTCCCGTGGCTTCTACTACCTCTACCCATAATATTGCTATGCAAATCCATACTTTGTCATCCAAACATGATTTTGTATTGAAAACTCAGTAAGATTCTGTGAGCCAATTCAGTAAACACTCAAACAACAGAATTCATATCCATGTCTATTACAGTTTTGTCGCGGGAAACCACGGCCACCTATGGGACCAGGACGGTCCCTTGCTGGTTCGGCAGGGAGGAGTCGCGTTGCACAAAGAGCAGACCAATGCAAGGCAGCACGACAGGGGTCGCATAGCCAGTTTTACCTAGGTTCAGGCCGCCGCGAGGCGTAAAACCCTACTCATGCTTTGGTGGATTGATTGAGAAAAGGTGGTGGCGGTGCGTAGTACACTTCCCGGCAAGGGTTGCTTCGGGGCAGCAGCGATATGGGGGTGAGTGGTCTAAACTTCCCACCCCTTGAATCATTGCCACGGGCCTTCTTTTATAGATCAAGGGGTTACCACAGTGGCAAATTAGTCATTAGATACTGATATGATAGCAGTGCTATCATACCTAACTCTGCTGGCTGACAGCGTGCATTTAATGCATCGCTTAGTGTCACGTCGTTGGTTGCCCGGCAAGGCCAGCCAGGCTAATTCGCCAGCTCCACGCCTGCTTGCTTGACACGTCACTGGAGGGGTGTCATGTGGGGGTTTACTTGGTAGGAAGCGGTTGCCATGTGGCGAATGGCTGCCACTTAATCATCCTGCGTCTTGACACCACACTGATCAGCGACGTGGGTCACGGTGGAGTAGTCAGTGTGGTGATTTGGTCTCCATGAGCCCCGGCAGGCCTTGTCGTGGCGCCTGGGTCCTTTTCTTCTGGGGGTGGCCTCGCCCCTTGCCGGGCTCGCCTGCCCGGCAAGGGAGGCTTCTTCCTTGATAATATCTGGCTCCTCTGTCTTAGTCTTGGTTCCTTCTGATTTGCTAGTTGGTTCTTCGAGTCTCTTGGTTTCTTGTTTACATTGCTCTATCCTTGGTTTGTGCGCGCACGAGTCAGGGGAAAACATGTACCCCTGTATATTTCCCCGACATAAGCCCCCGGACCCACGTGGCAGGAGAGGGCTGCGCACGCCGTTCTGCCATGATGACCAGTCAATCCAACGTCCACTTCGCGTGATTATTGCGCGTCGTGGGGTCGTGGGACTGTAGCAGTTAAGATAAAACAGTAACTTTTTGAAGCGTCCCACCCCTATTCCGTGTCCCCCCTTAAGAGCAGGAAAAGCGGAGCAGTGCGACTCATCTATTCTCTGCCCCGCTCCTGAAGGAAATATGCCCTAGAGGCAATAATAAAGTTATTATTTATTTCCTTAATTCATGATAAATGTTTATTATTCATGCTAGAATTGTATTAACCGGAAACTTAGTACATGTATGAATACATAGACAAAACATATAGTCCCTAGTATGCCTCTACTTGACTAGCTCGTTAATCAAAGATGGTTATGTTTCCTAACCATAGACATGTGTTGTCATTTGATGAACGGGATCACATCATTAGGAGAATGATGTGATGGACATGACCCATCTGTTAGCTTAGCATTATGATCGTGTTAGTTTCATTGCTACTGCTTTCTTCATGACTTATACAAGTTCCTCAGACTATGAGATTATGCAACTCCCGAATACTGGAGGAACACTTTGTGTGCTACTAAACGTCACAACGTAAAAGGGTGATTATAAAGGTGCTCTACAGGTGTCTCCGAAGGTGTTTGTTGGGTTGGCATAGATCGAGATTAGGATTTGTCACTCCGTGTTTCGGAGAGGTATCTCTGGACCCTCTCGGTAATACTCATCACTATAAGCCTTGCAAGCATTGTGACTAATGAGTTAGTTGCGGGATGAAGTATTACAGAACGAGAAAGAGACTTATCGGTAACGAGATTTAACTAGGTATTGAGATACCGACAATCGAATCTCGGGCAAGTAACATATTGATGACAAAGGGAACAACATATGTTGTTATGCGGTTTGACCGATAAAGATCTTCGTAGAATATGTAGGAACCAATATGAGCATCCAGATCCCGCTATTGGTTATTGATCGGAGACGTGTCTCGGTCATGTCTACATAGTTCTAGAACCCGTAGGGTCCGCACGCTTAACGTTCGATGACGATTGGTATTATGAGTTTATGTGATATGTTGTACCGAAGATTGTTTGGAGTCTCGTATGTGATCACGGACATGACGAGAAGTCTTGAAATGGTCAAGACATAAAGATTGATATATTGGACGACTATATTCAGACACCGGAAGTGTTCCGGAGAAGTTTCGGATAAAATCGGAGTGCCGGAGGGTTACTTGAACCCCCCGGGGAACTAATGGGCCTTGATGGGCCCTAGTGGAGAGAGAGAGGGGCCGGCCAGGGCAGGCCGCGCGCCCCCTCCCCTGAGTCCGAATAGGAGAAGGAAGGAGGAGGCGGCGCCCCCCTTGCCTTTCCTCTCTCCCTCTCCTTCCTTCCCCCTCTCTTCCCCAAGTTGGAAACCTACTAGGAATAGGATTCCTAGTAGGAATCCTACTTGGGGTGCGCCATACGGGGGCCGGCCGGCCTTCCCCCTTGCTCCTTTATATACGGGGGCAGGGGCACCCTAGAACACACAAGTTGACAATTTTTTTAGCTGTGTGCTGTGTCCCCCTCCACAGTTACACACCTCGGTCATATCATCGTAGTGCTTAGGCGAAGCCCTGCGCCGGTAACTTCATCATCACCATCACCACGCCATCGTGTTGACGAAACTCTCCCTCGTACTCAACTGGATCAAGAGTACGAGGGACGTCTCCGAGCTAAACGTGTGCTGAACGCGGAGGTGCCGTACGTTCGGTGCTTGGATCGGTTGGATCGCGAAGACGTTCGACTACATCAACCGCGTTAACTAAACGCTTCCGCTTTCGGTCTACGAGGGTACATGGACACACTCTCCCCTCTCGTTGCTATGCATCACATAGATAGATCTTGCGTGATCTTTGGATTTTTTTAGAAATTACCGCGTTCCCCAACAGTGGCATCCGAGCTAGGTCTATGCGTAGATGTTATATGCACGAGTAGAACACAAAGAGTTGTGGGCGATGATGACCCAAAAGTATAGGTGATCTATCGTAGTCCTTTCGATAAGTAAGAGTGTCAAACCCAATGAGGAGCAGAAGGAAATGACAAGCGGTTTTCAGTAAGGTTTTCTCTGCAAGCACTGAAATTGTAGGTAACAGATAGTTTTGTGATAAGATAAATTGTAACGGGTAACAAGCAATGAAAGTAAATTAAGTGCAGCAAGGTGGACCAATCCAT